TATGTGGTAATTGAAGCGATGTATATGGATGAGAGTGCAAAAAAAGAATGTCAAGAAAAGATATAGGCCACAACATAACTTTGGAACACTCTAAAAAAGCAGAGAAGAAATAAAAATATTCTGTAACTTTGAAAATGGACAATCAAAAGAACAGATATCAACCTATGATAAAGTGGTAAGTTAAATGTCAAGCAATAAGAAGGACTTAATTTTTAGTTAGGACTCAGTTGATAAAATAAGAAAATGCCTAATGTGTACTGAACAACTGTATTAAATGTAGGAGAAAAGTCAAGTATGAGAGACACAGGCAAACGTTTAATGTGTTTCTTAGTAAATCATTGGTAATACTGAGAGTAATCACCATGGGAGGGTAGGACTAGATGTGGACTTCCTAGGAAATCTCAAGTTTCCTTTTTTATTCCATTGCTTAAGAAGAAACAGATTTTGAAATTTTTTCTTTAAGAGATAATTTTTAAAAATATTCAGATCATAAGAGCAGAATGGACAAGATAAATACTGGATAATTCAAAGCTACTGCATATTCCTCCTTTGTCCAAAGTCAGGAATACATGACTATGAAATTTCAATTCCATGTATTCCTAGGAAATATGTAGTTAACCAAAACAAAACAAAACAAAAAAATTAAAAAACAGTAAATAATTAAATGTGTAATAAGAAATAATTGCACTTTAAGTAAATTTGATAGAAAATAATATAAATGTACTTAATAGTAATTGTATTTTATATTAGTTAGGCCAGCAGGGGAGGGCAAGATCAGACCAGCAGGGAGGGCAGTTGGGGGCAAGCATATTGGCACAGGGGGCATTTGGGAGTGATCAGGCTGGCAGGAGGGAATTTGGGGGTGAGGAGGCTGGCAGTGAGGAGCAGTTGGGGGTGAGCAGGCTGGCAGGCAAGCAGGTGAGCAGTTAGGAGCCAGCATTCAAGAGAGATGTCCGACTGCCGATTTAGGCCCAATCCCTGTAAACCTGGAGTAGGATATTCTTTGTGTGGTCCCAGATTGGAGAGGGTACAGACCACACTGAGGGACACACCTCCCCCTGTGCACAAATTTCGTGCACTGGACCTCTAGTATAAGATATAAATGCATGTGTACATTTTCAATCTTAGGAATCTAACTTTATAAAAAGCATTGGGAAAGACATAAGCAACAAAGAAACACAGTTGTTATCATGTAATATTTTAAACATTTTTAACAAAATAACAATGTGTTATTTTTTGTGTGTTTTTTAAATATATTTTTATTGATTTCTGAGAGGAAGGGAGAGGGAGTGATAGAAACATCAATGATGAAAGAGAATCAATGATTGGCTGACTCCTGCATGCCCCATTCTGGGGATTGAGCCCGCAACATATGCCCTGACTAGGAATCTAACCTTAACTTTCTGGTTCATAGCTCAATGCTCAACCACTGAGCCACACTGGCCAGGCAGAATAACAATGCATTTTTGAATACACCATAACAAAGATTTCTTAGTTGAAAGTTAAAGAGAAAAAAATGAGTCTCCTTTTACTTGGATCATATGACATCAAAACTAGTGCTTCCAGAAACTATTCTACACTGTAATTTTGGGAAGAAGAAATAATGTCAGGTTGGTCTATATACCTTAGACACCCAAAGTGGGTTGAGAAAAATGAATGACTTGAAAACACTTCCCTTTCCCACAAAAGGCCTTGTAAACATGCTGGTAGTATAAATAACAAAGAGTTTCTATAAGTAGAAGGGTTGAGCAGAACATACCAAATTTGTCCACATAGCTTATTGTAAATCAGTGTGAAATAGAAATATGTGGGGCACAGTAGGCTGAGGAAACAGGTGACTCATGTAAGCAATCTTCCGTGTGTACAGCTGGGGATAAAAACACTGAAACAACGGAGCAATATTTCCACATGCGTTACACAAATTTTCTACTGTCTGTTATTTGAAAACCAAAACGTGCCTAATACAAAGCAAAAAGGGTATTTATTCTGTGAGTGCTGTGTATGACTGTCTCACATTCCTCAAGGGAAGGAAAGTTTTATCTCTGATCATTTGAGTCATTACAATTTTTGTATGAGCAAGATCTACGATTCCTGTGGTCTGATGTTATCGATCAAGTAGCTTTAGCAGCACAAAGAAGAGAGCGGCAACTTTGCCTGAAGCAAAGTTACAAATAGTGTCACAGAAGAGATGGCTACAGTGATAGTTTGTGAAGCATGAGCATAGTTCGCCAACAAATAAAATTAAGTATGGAGCACAGATGGCTGAGGAAAACATGACAATCAATACTTTATTTTTTGCAACATAATAATGTAGGCAAACTCTAATAGTGCTATGTTTAATAGTCCTTTCCTTCAAAATATAAATGCTATTTGTAATTGACAAAGGTGGGCTGTTTCCTCAGACTGAGTTATTCATCCATGAAATTATTTTGTACGAAAGATCATAGGTTAAAGATAAAACAAAATCAAATTAACAGATGGCCTCAAGAGCAATTATCATTCACCACCAATGCAATTACTATGTTTATTATAACTAATATTAATTACTAGGCATTATCTTAAGTGCTTAACATTGCTTATCTTATTTAATCATTAAAATACCTCAGTTCATTTGTTCTAGTCCTATATTCAATTTTACAGGTAAAGTAAAAATAGAATCAAACATCCATAAAAAATTAAAAACCCTGATAAAATAACAAAAGAAAAGAACTAGTGACAGTATGAATCAGGGCAACTTTTATAGTAATATTTTGTGGAAATATTGAAGATTTCAAAACTCTATATCCCAAAATTTGATTTTCAGCTCTTTACTACAGAGAAATACTTTCTCACATGTCCAAGGGTGAACATAACAGCAGTTTGTGATACATAAAATTGCAGAAAACATAAATGTCCATCAAAAAGTCAAATTAAAAATCAAGCCAAAAACTTGCTATGTGGCAGTAAAAATTAATGAATTAGAAATACATATAGCCATCTAAAGATATTTCACAAACCATACAGGGAAAAGAGTATATCACAAAAGATTAGCATGGATAGATCAATAGATCTCTAGCTGTAAAGATAAGATGGTGCTGTCCCTGTGAAGTTCAAAATGCATAGTTAAATAACATATTAAACAATCTATTTAAAATGCATGTGTAGAAGGTAAAACCCCAAAGAAAAGATGAGCTACCTTTAAAAGACTTGTGGTTATCTGAAGGAAGAGAACACAAGATATTGGTATTGTTTTATTCCTTGAGCTAGGATTTGGTAAATATGTTTCCTTTATAATTATGTTTTAGATTGTAAATATAAATTATAATCTTTTATAATTTACTATCATAATTAAAAAAAAACACCTAAATCTTAGAAAGGTTACATATATTTTAAAAGGCAGGTGTGGAGCAAGTAATGTATTCCATCTGTCACAGTCCACAAATTGTGTTTTCACCCACTAGGCAAAGACAAATATTAAATTTATTATTGTTGTCCTTCTGTGTTATCTTGATGCATTCTTTAAATACAAAATGCTGAACCGTCATCAAATTACTGATAATTTTCAAGTGCCAGCCAACTTAGATGTAAATTATTTAGTTAAGCAGTTAAGCCAGACATTTTACTTGACAATTCCAATTTGTTGGCAATGACAGCCAAGGTTTCTATAGCTGAGTGGCTATGCTAACAACAAAGTAGACTTCAAAATGAAGAATATTGCTAGGGAAAACAAGTTATATGAAATAATGATAAAAGGGACAATTCACCAAGAAGTCATAAAAATTCCATGTGTTTTTATTCTTAATAACAAAGCTCCATCTTACTCAAAAAGAAACCCAACAGAAAAAAAGATTTCAGATCCTGCCATGTGCCAGCAGCTTTGTTTTTTATTCAGGCCTCATAAGTTGATGCTCATAACATCCTTCTTAATGTTAAATCTATTTCTGAAGATGAGGATATGTAATATAATCAATCTTAAGCAATTTATCCAAGCCATATAGCAGATTCTGATTACCTATTCTCAAACATAGCAATCCATCTGCAATATCCACATTACTTTCTGCTTAGCCAACATATTTTATTTGTTTTCCTCTCGCTATTAGAATAGAGATACAGATGGTAATTAAAATGTAACAACAATCTTAAATATATAACCACTCCAATTGATTTAAAAAAAACTTCACTACAAAGTAATAAATAAGAAAATTTAATTATATAATTATATCTAAACTTATCTCAACTAAGAGAAATTTCACACCAGTTAGAGGCGAAACTAATATCTTAGATATATAATTTCACATTGATAGGCAGAATGTATGTACTTTGTAATCTAGCTAATTCTGAAGGATCAGAGCACCAGATGATAGAATTGTTTTACTGATGCATCAGTTATGAAAAACAAAATTTGGAATATTGTTTTTCTTTGAGAAAAGATTTTAGTCACTTATATAAAGACATTCTAACTCTCCAATGTATTAGATTATGTACCAAGGAGACAAAGGTGATCAGAACAGACACAATGAGCTCACAGCATATTAAGGAAGAAAAAAATGTGAAGACAAATTATAATAGAATATGATTTGAGTTACATAAAATTTGAACAATACATACTGTGGATAACAAAGAGGAAGTGATTAATTCTATATTTGAGCCTTAGGGAGGAAAGGTCTGAAAAGTCCATACTTAATCTGGGTAAAGAAATGGATTTTTAAATCCAAATGGAAAACAAGTGTTCAATGTGATTTAAATTCTAAATCCAGAAGTTAATATTTTAAAATTTTGGTATTAGTGTTCAAATATGTTTTCAACTATTAGTAAATTTATTAAATAGATTGCTTTTTAAAAGTATCTCTTCTTTAAATATTTCCTCTTATTAATACAGCCCTGACTCTGACTTTGACCAAGGCAAAATTTTTGTAAATGTAAATATCAAAAGGCTTATACTATTCATAAGCCTCAGTCCTTTTCTGGGTGAGATTCCCTATCAATTATTTAAATAATACACACTTGCCTTTAGAGCATATATGTCAAACTCAAAGGCTAACACGGGCCAAATAAACAAGGCTTAAGTATGTGGACCACAAAAAATCAGAAGTTTCATTTTTCATAGGTTTATTTTAATAGAGACATACTGAATACAAAGAGCTGGAATAAATGAGTAATCATTAACATAAAATAATAAAACATTTTAATAAAAATTAATATTTTTCTTGAACATTAACTTACCAGACACTGAATAACTGCACAAATTAATAAGCGTAATGAAAATAGATCTATTTTTCTTGTTCTCCAAAAGCAAAATATTTTCTATTGCAAACACTAAACAAGTCAGTACTAATGTTGTAGCAATTGTTGGCTAAAATACTCCCTGCTAGTATTAGTGGAGGGAAATGCTGTGCCTGCATTGAAGGCACTTAAGGGAAATGAATGCAACATGACGACAGTAATCAGTCATTGGCGAACATTGTAATTTGTTATTAATAACTAATGGCCTGGTGCATGAAATTTATGCACTGGGGGGGTTACCTCAGCCTAGCCTACACCCTCTCCCAATCCGGGACCTTTCGGGGGATGTCCAACTGCCGGTTTAGGCCTATCCATTGGGATCAGGCCTAAACCGGCAGTTGGACATACCTTGTGCAACACAGGATCACTGGCTCCTAACCACTCACCTGCCTGCCTGATCACCCCTAACTGCCTCTGCCTGCCTGCCTCATTGCCCCTAACCACTTGCCTGCCTGCCTCATTGCCCCTAACCACCTCTGCCTACCTGCCTCATTGCCCCTACACATTTCCCTGCCTGCATGATTGCCCCTAACCACTTGCCTGCTTGCCTAACAGCTGACAAAGGGGCATGGCCAGCCAGGGGAGGGGCCGTGGTCATCCTGGTCTAGGGTCGCTCTGGTCATTCCACTGTTTCAGTCACTGGGCTTTTATTATATAGGATTATATATAACAGGATAGTGTAAAAATTAAGTTACAAAATTTTTATTAAAACATTTCTTACAATGGTAAGATATGTACTCATATAATACCTTAATTAAAAAATAAAAAAACATATTTTTTATATACCATTATATTGATTGGGCCACAAAAATATTCGCTTTGGGCCACATGTGGCCAGTGGGCCACGAGTTTGACATGTTTGCTTTAGAGTCTATCTGAATAATTCTAAAAGTTTTCAATGGACATTGATAACCCAGCTACAGAGCTTATACCATTAAATATTGAATATTTGATATCATTATTTCACCGCTTTTATTTTTACTGCAGCCTTTTAGAAGAAATAATAATCATGCACCAAGCAGACAACACATACCACAATGAGGTATGATGTAAGACACATTCCACATTCTGCTTCAGAACAGCTTTACAGGATAAACTTTATTATAACTTTGCTGCATATATTTCCTCTTAAAAAGTTCATGATTGTCTTCTATGCAATACTCAATACATCTCCAGTGACAAAAGCAGAGTGTACCATAACATATGAATAATGCAGACTTGTAAAATTCTAAGAACTGATGTATTAGGGACATTGTTCATGTCTACCTGTTCCCTTGATACTTTTTTTCCCCACTTGATCCTTTCTGTGTTGACTTACTGTGGAGGCATATCTCACATTTACACTGATATGATTTTGTGTGAGTGCGGGCTTATTTTTAAAAAAATGTATATTCTATTAAAAATCAACTCATCGCATATTTTTCATTTGGAAAAAGAAAGACTTTGCCAGCAGCAAAATAGAAATACACTGAGCCAGCTGCTCTGTTTCAAAGATAGAAAATATTCCATGCAATCTTTGTAACTTCTGGAAAAATATGATTCAGACTTTTAAAATAGGTCTATAGTTAAATTAGCTTGACGATGACACTAGTGTCAGACGATTCTGAAAGAATAACCAAAGGTGAAGACATAATCATTTCACATAAGAAAGAAATTAGTAATTATATATGTGAGTTGTGGAGGGATTGAGCTAAAAAGGAAAAAAAAAAAAAAAGAACTCATGAGTATGGACAACACTGTGGTGATTGTGGGAGGAGAAGTGTGGGTGGAGATGAAAGACTGTATGGGGGGATAAATGGTGAGGAAATAATGTCTTTTGCTTTTTAATAATAAGATGGTAAGACATTAAAGAGAAAACTATGTAAAATATAAAAGAAATTTTAAAATTATGCACTTTTTTTTCTCGCACATTACATAGTAAAATATTAAGGCATATTCCAACAAACATGATTACATGAAACAATGCAAAAATATGAATTTTTATAAAATTGTATATTTTTTAAACTGAAAAATAAATTTGAAAAAATGAATACCAGTGAACTCAACAAGTGAAGTATTCTAGCAACTTGAAGAGACCAGCCATGTTTTCTTTGCTTCTCCATCTATTTTCTCTTTATGTACTAAGTGACCAGATATTTCATATCTACAGAAATAATCTTCATTAAACAGGATAATAGCTAACCCAATTTTATAACTTCTCCAAATTATTAGTTAAGAATCTCATCTAAGATTTTATAACTGAACAGGGGGTATAATCAAAAGATGTGGCTTACTTTATTCTTAATTTACACAGTAGATATTATTTTAAGTGGCTTCCATTTAATGGTTTTGCCAGAAAAACTCACCCTATGCATTCCCATTGAATACCAGCTAGGTTATCCATGGGACATTGAACTCTAGTGGCTTATTGTCCAGTCATCCATACATCCATGTTCTGCATCAACAGTTCCATCTCTTTATGTCATGTAGTTATTGTGACTACCTAACTTTTAATTAAATTTAATGGATTGACATTGGTTAATAAAATTATATAGTTTTCAATTATACATTATCTACTTATAGCATTGTGTGACTACCACCCAAAGTCAAATCTTTCATCCCTATATATCAAGCTCCTTTACTCCCTCTCTACCCCTTACCTCTGGTAACCACCAAAATATTGTCTGTGTCTGAGTCTTTGTTTTTCTTATTTGCTCATTTGTTGCTTTTGATTTTATATCCCACATGTGAGTGAAAATGAATTATTAATCCCCTATCCTGCAACCATTGAAAAATAGTTTAAAATACACTCAAATTAGAAATAAATGTAAAAATATTGCAGTTATTTTTTATATTAGAGATCTATCTACAAATAATTACATTCCAATTCCTTTGAAGTTCTCATTTACTCTAATTAAAATGAGAGTGAAGGTGACATAGGTTTTTATGGATAAAATACTCAAGAAATATCTAGAGGACAACCAAATGGACTCATGTGAAAAAAAAAGGCTTTGATTACCTCAAAATATTGGTCAAATAATGCATGTATGCACATGTGTGTGATTTATGTTATCATTTATGTTTGAATCCAAAATTCACTCCCTGTGAATTTTGGATCCAATGACTAAATCTCATTTGTCTTCATTCTCTCTGGAAATGTATTTCCTGTTATTGTATTTTTTTTCTATAAATTAGACTGTTTCTGAAAACAAGTGAATAAAAAAATAGGACACCACAGGAGGTGATGATTCACTTTGTGGAAGTTATGTAGTTAATAAATGTAATCCTATTACTCACCACAAATAATTTTGGAATAGTAATTCATCCAGCAACCAAATTAACTCTTCTAGTGCTCCTGCTTTAAATTGAGTACTTTATATTCTAGATGTGTCATTGGAGTCATTTTTCTTTGTAGCCTAACTTTAATATCAAGCCACATTTGATCATCCTTAGTCATGTAAATTGAACTGCATTTATTACTCATGGGTCAACATAAAAAGTAATGACTTAAGAAATTATGATATTTTTTTCAGGATGAGTAAACATTTATTTTGAAAAGAGCTGAATCACGATGAAATGTCCCTTTCATTTTAGTCTCTATTGCTCCCTCCTTTGTTTTTGTTTTTGTTTTTTTCTAATGTTGGAAATGGAGGGTATTTACTTTTTTTAAAAAGTTTTATTACTAAATATTTTTTTTCGTGTTTGGCAGATGAAAACTACTAACTGCAAATCCTACTGGCTGGAAGTGGGTGCAAATGACTAGTCTTCTGAAAGCAAGCAGGTGTAGGCCTGGCTCCTGAAGTACTCAGTAGGAAGCTGACATTTCAACATTAAAGTTCAATGCATTGGAGCATTGTTCTAGTCATAATAAACTGTCTAAATTGCAAAATCCTGGCAACACATTCTAGCCATTAAGCTGTATATCCCCTATTTTCAGTCTGGAAAGCTTCTTTTAATCCATAAAAAGATTTTCTCAGCTGAGAGAAATTGGAAACTAGAACAACAAACAATGAAAACAGGTCCGCTCATTTCCCAGCTGGAAAACATGACCACATACATTAGCATCTGATTACTTCTGAAAATGTTCGCCCATCACTGATTGATTTCAGAGAGGAAGGCAGAGAGAGAAGAGGAGGAGGAGGAGGAGGAGGAGGAGGAGGAGGAGGAGGAGGAGGAGGAGGAAGGAGAAAGGAGGAGGAAGAGGAGGAGAGAAATATCCATGATGAGCGAAAATCCTTGATTTGATGTTTCTGCACACCCACACTAGAGATTGAGCCTATAATCCTAATATGTATCCTGACTGGGAATCAAATCATGACCTCTTGGACATCTTGGTTCAACCACTGAGAAACACTGACCAGGCACTATCTAGATTTAATGTATTACTGCAGACTCATATTTCCATGCCTTTTCATCCAATTGTACTTTACAGAAGTTTTTTTTATTTATAATGTTCTAAGCATTGTATATTACATGTTACTCTAATATTATAATTCTCTTTTGAATGGGTTAAAAATAGTCACAGTAAAAGGATTACACAGAATAACATGATATCCTTTAAGCTAAAGCTGTTCAGGGTACCCAGTAAGTTTTTTTTTTTTTTTTTTTTTTTTTTTTATTTATTTATTTATTTATTTATTTATGTATTGCCAGTCTCATCAAGGATTCAATCAAGAATTCAGTATGTCCAGGGCCAGGGCTAATTTGCATTAGTTTCATTTTCACTCTGGTTTCAAAGATCTTAAAGAAATGACCTGTCATGTTTCTTGAACACCCTCTCTCGGTCAGGATTTCAACTTATAATCATCTGTCAACTGTATGGAATTTTA